CCCTCGGCGGCCGAGAGTAAAGCCGCCTCCTATCGGTTGCGCCGCGGGTTGCGCCCTCGGCGCCGGCCGAGAATGAACCCGCCCCATGTTGGCTGCACCATGTGCTGCGCCGCGCCTTCGGCGGCGGCTGAGAATGAAACCGCGTGCCATTCGTTGCGCCATCTGTTGCGCCCTCGGCAGCAAAGAGTAAAACCGCCCCGTTGGTTTCGCTGTGGTCGCGCCCTCGGCGGCCGAAGAATAAAACCGTCGTGTAACGGGTTCAACCAGTCAGTTGGTCAGTCAGTCATTCAGTCGCTCAATCTGGTCTGTCAGTCTATCGGAGCTTGCCCCGCGAGACGCAAATTCAGGATGCGCCCGAAAGCAGGGCGGAATCTTGTCGCCGCTTTCGCCTTTCGGGGGCTCTGAGAGGGTCGTCAGACGAAGACCCGCGATGCAACGTTGTCCCATTGATATGTCGGGGCCTCCAGGGACCGCGCATTGAACCCGCCGGGGCGTCGGGTGTCTGGGGGGGGGGGGGGGAGAAGGACGACGAGCAGAAGGGGAGGGGGGGGGGGGGGGGGCGGAGGGGGGAAGGAGGAGTGCAAGGGGGAGGAGGAGGAGGAGGAGGAGAAGGAGGAGGAGGAGGAGGAGGAGGAGGAGGAGGAGGAGGAGTAGGAAGGAGGAGGAGGAGGAGGAGGAGGAGGAGGTAGGAGGAAGAGGGGGAGGGGGAGGAGGAGGAGGGGGATGAGGAGGAGCAGGAGGAGGAGGAGAGGAGGAGCAGGAAGAGCAGCAGGAGGAGCCATGTTGAGCCATCTCAGCCGTCTCGGGGGGGCGCATTGGACCGCCTCGGCGCCGGGTTGAAACCCTCTCGTTCCCTTCGGCGGCAATGCGGGTTCCACCTTAGAGGCCAGTGCGAGCCTCGAGACGGCGAGCGACAACTTCATGATTGTCAATTCGTTGCGCCTACTTTGCGACCTATTTCCGGACTGCCGCGCGACCGCCCTTGGCCCGCCCCAGCGCGCCACCGCTGCCACGCGCATGGCAGTCGCACTGGCGCGACGCGGAGCTCCGCGGAAGGCCCCGACGGCAAGGTGCGCATGGAGGCCCCGCCTCATGTCGGCACACCGTTCACGCGCTTCGTGGCGCCATAGAGAGCGCCGCCGAAGGCTTCGGTGACAAGGTCCGCATGGCGGCCCCGCAACGTGGAGCTGACCTGGAAAAATATAGTTGAACCTCGCTGCAGCCACGCAGCACGGAACGCATCCACTGCGGTTCCCATGACGCACGTTCGGTCACGCACCCAACATGAAGTAGGGCAGAAATCCACAAAAGTATGGCGGAAACAGCGACAGAAAAGCAAGGCGGCAATTGGCGTCGGCGGGGCTTGAAAAGCAAGGCGGACATTCCAGGCCCCACTTGCGAATTGCCCGAAGTAGGGCGGATCCCGAGTCAGGGTGGACTCCCCGGGTCGTCTATCGCGTTTTCTTGGGTTCGCGCCTCGCTCGTTTCCTGGGTTCGCGCCCCCCGCTTCCCGGCTTCGCGCCCCCCGTTTCCCCGGCTCGTTTTCCATCGGAGGAGGAGGAAGAGGAGGAGGAGGAGGAGGAGGAGGAGGAGGAGGAGGAGGAGGAGGAGGAGGAGAGAGGAGGAGGAGGAGGAGGAGGAGGAGGAGGAGGAGGAGGAGGAGGGAGGAGGAGGGAGGAGGAGAGGAGGAGGAGGAGGAGGAGGAGGAGGAGGAGGAGAGGAGGAGGAGGAGGAGGAGGAGGAGGAGGAGGAGGGGGAGGGGGAGGGGGAGGCGGAGGAGGAGGAGGAGGAGGAGGACGAGGAGGAGGAGGAGAGGGAGGAGGGCAGCGCGAAGCAGCACCGAGCGAACGCGGGAAGTCTCCTCCCACGTGCGTTTTGCCGCCGTTCTCCGCGTTCCGGTCCGTCCAATATCGGCGCGTTCCGCCTCGGTTCGGATTGATTCCTCCTTGGTTCGCCCCGTCTCGGATCTGAGTCTTCGCACGGTTCGGCTACTGCCAGGTGTGGGCGAGCAGTGCGGGCAAGCAATTCGATCTTCAGATCTTGGGTTGCCAGTGACGGCCTGATACACGACGCAGTAGGGCACAGTTCATTTTGGCACGGCGCAGTACATGTCAATTCAGCACACGGTCGATACCTTCAGCACTGCATTTACCCGTCGCCAGTTCAGGTGTCTTGAGAATTGGTCCATGCTTCACGTTTGTTTGTTTCTTTCCCAGGTTCGTGGGACAATCATGTTTGTCTTTGGAAGTTGCCTTTGGGCTCCTTTCTGGTGCCCTCTTGGGCCGTCTCGAGGGCCTCTTGGGCCGTCTTGGGAATAGTTTGGGCCGTGCTGGGGCCATTTTGAAACCATCTTGGGGCATCTGCTGACCCTCAAGAGCCGTCGCCGGGCCCTTTTGGATTTCTAATGGGGCCAAGACGTAAAAATCGTTGAATGTCAATGTTCGTTGTGTTCGTTGGTTGTTGTGTGTGTGTTTCGAAGCCCCGCATGTGTTCACCCTCTTTGGTCGACGGATGTGGCGTGACCCTGGTGGGGTGGGGTCGGGGGGCGACATCATAATATAGAACATTAGAACATCAGAACATACTGCACTGCGCAAGTTTGAATATCGTGGATTCCTCTCGCTTCGCAGGGTGCACGTCCGGAGCACGTAAAGACTGAACATTGGGTGGCTTGCCCTGCTCGCCTTCCGCGAATTTTTGGCGCTGCCACTGCCGCGGGGGGCGGAAACGCCCCGCCCCCTCCCCGTTTCAGCGCCACGACGAGCGTGCGAATGTCCACGAGGACAATGAGAATTCACCGCGTGTCCGCACAAGGCAACGCCAAGTTCAAACCCCGAAAATCATAGCAACAACGCGCCATTCGTACACAACTCTGTGGGCCTCTTGGTGGTTTCTTGGGGCCGTTCGGGAGCTTCTTGGGGGCCTCTTAGGGGGGTCCTGGGGACCCTGACGGCTTCTTGGGGGCCTCGTGGGCCCTCGTGGGGCGCTCTTGCACCGTCTGGTCCCTTCGGAGACCGTTTCGAGAGCCTTTTTTCATGACCGCCTTACGAGGTCCCCTTGGGGCATAGCGGGGCCGTCCTAGGGCCCTGTTGGGGCCTCACGGGGCGTCTTGGGGCCATCCTGGGGTCGTTATGGGCTCCCGAAACTCGAACAAGGCAAAAATGCGAAAAGCTTGCAAAGCCCATAGGAACATCAATGTGTTGGGCCTCTGGAGGTGATTTTGGGGGCCTCCTTGGAGCTCTCTGGGGCCATCTTGGGGGCGTCCAGGGTCTTCCCGAGGCCATCTTAGGCCGTCTTGGGTCATTTCGAGGCCCTGTTGAGCCGTTTGGAGGCCCTCTTGGGCCCCGAAGAGGCCCAAGAGGCCCAAATCATTGATTTCCTACGATGATGAGGCCAACTTAGTTGGGAGTGGTCGACGGAAGCGGCGCGGCTCCAGCGGGGAGGTAGGGGGTACACAAGAATGTAAAACAATACCTTGTGTAACAACTATGTGGTGATGATCCACTTTGACCGTCTTGAAACTGTCCTCTCCGCTGCTCGTGCAAACAGTCCACCCTCCCACCCGCAACTTGGTCGCAAGACCTCTTAAGATAAGACCGTGACAGTAGGTACCACATGGCACTTGGCCACGACACCGTCGCCGACGACGACAGCGACAACGACGACGACGGCGCCGCCGACACCGACTACGACGTCACCAACGACGTCTCCAACGACTTCGACGACGACAACGACGACAACGACGACGACACCGACGACGACGACGACGACGCCGACGACGACCGCGATGACAACGCCGACGACGACGACGCCGACGACGACGCCGACGGCGACGAAGACAACGACGACGACGACGACGACGACGACAACGACGCCGCCAACGAATACGACGACGAGGACGAGGGAGGAGGGAGGACGCCGACAGCGACGACGACGACAATGACGAGGGAGGAGGGAGGACGGCGACGACGCGAACGACGAAGAAGGAGGGAGGACGGCGACGCCGACGACGACAACGACGAGGGAGGAGGGAAGACGACGACGACGACGACGGCGACGAAATAGGAGGATCGACGACGAGACGCCGACGACGGACGACGACGTCAAGGGAAGAGGAAACAACGACCACGGCGACAACGACGACGGAAACGACGACGACGCCAAGACGACGACGACGACAAGGGAAGACAGAGAACGACGACGCCGAAGACGACGACGACGGAGGAGGGAGGACGGCGGCGACGACGACGACGACGACGACGACGCAAGAGCGCGCGCGCACTCTTTTGTTGAAAATCCGTGTTGCGAAACCTTGTGTTTTTTGTATGTTTTTTGGACACACGATTTTGAAATCCTTCCGAAACCGATGTGTTTTGAAGGTTTTCGGCATACGCGCGCGACGACGCGCACGTCTGCACTTCGTCCAGTTTTTTGCAGAGGACTCTCGCGACGGCACACGCGCAAGGGCGTTCAACAGATTTCGACATGCGCGCGCGAAGCCCACTTAATAGCATTTTGTGAAAATCTTGAAAAACGCAGGATTTTCTTAAGATTTCGCAAGAGCTCGCGTGGAAGCTTTTTTAGCAAATCATTGTTGCGAAACCCTGTGTTTTTGTATGTGGTTTGGAAACTCGATTGCGAAATCCTTCCGGCACCGAAGGTTTTTGAAGGATTTCGGCATGCGCGCGCGACGACGCGCGCGTGTGCACTTCGTCCCATTTGTTGCAAGGGATTCGTGAAAAAAAAGGTATGCTAGAACAAAACATGTCACCGCATAGTGTTTTTTTTTACCAGGGAACCTCAGGTGGGGGATACCGGTTGGCCTGGGACATTGCGATTTCATATTTAGGATGGACATGTGGTCAGAATCATATATGATTTACATACCCGAAAGGGGGGCGATAACTCCGGGGGGGGTAGAGTCTATCCTTTGTTTAGAAAGGAGCATACACATGCAACACATGCCAGGCGTGTAATCGATATGCACGGCAGGTATGTAAGATTTGAATACTCTGGATACGCTGCATTACAGCATCCGCGGACCTGTTCCTCCTGGCCATGGATTCAAGGGTTTCCCATAGCTTCCGCCGGATCCGCCTATTTCCCTGGACCTCAAAGCGTCTGCCAGGGAGGCCTTTCGAAGCAGTTCTGGTGCGCCAAGCTCCTGGGCCCCGAGCAGACGATGATTTAAGTATCCCCCCCTTCAATCGTGATGATGTCGGCCCTGACGGTAGGGGGAAGGTGGGATGGAAAACCGGTTTCCCACGCTTAATGACCACACGAGGGGGTCGGCGGATTGCAGTCGGTGGGCTTGGTGTCATTCAGAGCAACGCTCTCTCCAGCAAGGCGTCGATCGGCTATCTTCTGCTGGGTTCCGTTGTCATGTTCGCATCATCAGGGCTGCTGTCGGCAAAGCCAGATGTGGACGCCTACGTCTACATGATCCTCACAGGCCTTGGAAGTTACATTAGCTACGTGCCGTACAATTCGGTCTTATTCGAGCGATTGATTGCATACACTGGGGCAGAAGCCACGGTATCGTTTCCGATGGCAGTCAGTGATGCAGTTGGTTATCTCGGAACCATGGCTGTATACTTGGTCAGTACATTTGTGGTGCCTAAGCCTACGGGAGATGGAGACAAGACGCCTGCAGAAGAGTATGCGGTGTACTTGAACTTCTTCCAGCTATTCGGGTGTGTCACTGCGATTGCTGGAGGAGTTGCCTACACAGTCGCATACTTCTATTATTTCGTCATGTTCCCCCGAAAGCATGCTGTGAAGGAGTCGCCCGATGTAGGGTGCGGGTGGAGTGAGTCCGACGACACCAGCAATGATGACGACGAGTCCGACGAGTGATCTCGGCGCCTTGCGCAGGCGCTGCAGTCGCGTCATCCGTTTCACTTGTGGCGCGAGGCGCTTGTCGAGCTAGTCGTTGGGACGTGACGCGAAATTCAGAACGCGATCGGGCACACCTCCTGTCTCGGCGAACTCTTTCTAACGCGTTGGAGTCCACTTGCATGCTTGTCTCTTTCTGGCTCCGGTCGGCGAGAACCATTGCTATGCCAGAGGACGTCAGGGCATGTTTTCATTCCGGAAATGTTTCATTGCTCCTCGGCTCGCCGCCAAGCGATCCGATATTTGAAGGATTGGCGGACGGTCGTGGTGCTCACAGCGGTTGAACAGTTGCGAGTCATCATTGTTTTGCCCGCCTTCACAAACATTTCGCAGCAATCCAAGCGCAGGAAACATGAGACATAAGCATTGCATCAATGCATGTAGTGCGTTGGCCCAGGGCTCTCTTTCACTCGGCAAATTTGTCCCCCGGCCCCTTGACTGAAGGGGGCCGGTGGAACTATTCTTTCTATTCAAACGGGTTGAAGTCCAACGTTCAGTTGAAGAGGTGCGTTTCGAGTATATCCGCTCGGGGGAAACGCGCCCCCGCATCGGATCTTCTATAAATAACTGCATCCGCAGCCCCTTGTTTTCCATGGTCGAAAATTTGGGCGGAGATGCGCAGAGTCCTTGTGAGAGGCGCGTTGAAGTTCGCAGGTACATCTCAGAGAATTATATTGCGCAACGGCGCGCCGGCGCTGATAACCTTTTACGAGCAACGGGGTTCGGAGGCCAAATCAGGCCAAGGCAGACCCTGTTGTCCCCTGGATGCCCTGGGGGCGGGAGCCCTCCGTAACTTACAAGGGGGGCCTTGGGAGCGCGAGCGCAGCGTGGTTCGTTGTGGATCGTAACCCTGTGAGAGCGGACGCTGTGTGATTTTCTGGGCCTCCTAGGTGAGGTCGGAATAGATGGGGTCGGAGGATCGCACCGCATCGCCGATGCATCGGCGATGCGGTGCGATCCTCCGACCCCATCTACTCCGACTCCTCGGACCCCGTATGCTCCGACCCCACCTAGAAGGCTTCTAAATTTACCATGGGACTTACAAAGGGTCGGGGCCCTGGGAGAGCGGCCTATTCTGCCGTGCTTCTGGTCTTTTTCTGCCGTGCGCGCCCAGAAGCTCCGCCAAAACGACCACCGCGACGATCCGCATGGCAGAATACAGGAGCACGGCAGAACACACAGAACACACAGAGGCACGGCAGAACACAAGCACGGCAGAACAGGAGCACGGCAGAACACACAGGAACACAGCAAAACACACCCCGCACGCACGCCGACACGCGCGCCACGGCATACCTTCGCGGCGTAACAACAACAGAGCATATTCCACATGCTTGGTGGACTAAAGCGACGCTTCTCGTTCTTGTCCGGTCAGGTTTCGAAGTTGGCCGTTTCGCTCGGGACATCCTGTCAATAATGGAGCCAGCGTTGGCTCCAGGCCCGCCTTCGTGTTGAGATCGCTCTTCGAGCGCCCGCGAGAGTCCCTAGAAGGCCACAGGACGGCTCCATAGGACCCGCCGTACGGCCCAAGAGGCCTCCATTAGCACTCCCAAGAGGGTCCAAGACGCCGAAATCGTCAAATTCCAATGGGAAAACGTACCTTTTTATCATATTCGACTTTCTCGTCTTCACGGCGTCGAAAACGGTCCAAGAGTCCCCCACGAGCGCCCCGCGAAGGCCCAAGAGATTTTCAAGAGGAGCCCAAGACGGCCTAAGAGGGCGCCAAGACGGCCCAAGAAACTCCCAAGAAAGCCCAAAACGGCCCCAAGAGGGGCCCGAGAGGGAGAGCCGGAACCGAAAATCGGAGCCTCCCGCCCAAAGACGGCGCTAGGAGGCCCCAAGAGGCATCCAATAGCACTCCCAAGAGAGCCCAAGACGCCGAAATCTTCCAATTCCCATGGGAATGCGCATTTTTATCATACACGTGTTTATCGTCGTCACGGCGTCGAAGACGGCGCAAGAATCCCCCAAGACCGCCCCGCGACGGCCCCCAAGAGATTCCGAAGAGGCGCCCAAGACGGCCCAACAGGGCGTCACGACGACCCAACAGGCTCCCAAGAAGGGCCAAGAGGGTCCCAACAGGGGCCCGAGAGGGAGAGCCCGAACCGAAAATCGGAGCCTCCCGCCCAAAGACGGCCGTAGGGCGCCAAGAGGCGTGCAAGGGGTCCCAGGAGGCCCCCGAGAGACCCCCCAAGACGCACCAAAAGGCCCCCAAGAGACCCAAAAGAGGCCCCAACAGGCCCCAGAACGCCCCGCGAGAAGCCTTGCAACGGAGCCCTGCGAACCTCCACTTCGTCTCATTCCCAATACCCCCGCACACTGGCGAGATGGACCGAAGGCCACTAGATACTCCACTTCCTTATCCCGAATTCGGGCTACACGGCCTCAGGGCCGCTCAAGAGGGCTCGGATACAGGGACCCAAGAGGGCTTCATGTTACAGGCCTCTTCGACCGTCTTCGGGTTCTCTCCGGTCGTGTTCAACATATGTTGGGCCGTCTTGGAGCATCTTCGAGTGCCCAGAGGCGGCTGGAGGCATCCAGTGCATTCTTCGGAGGGGTGAGGGATCTAGTCCGTCTGACCGGATCCCCCCCCGGCAAGCCGGCCGGACCGAGTGCTCGCGGGAGGAGTCTGAGAGGGGCACCAGTCTCACATGCCGAGTGGACCCCAAAGGGACGGCGGATAGCTCGTGATCTTGGCGGTGGACGTGAGGGCCGCGTGGCAACTGCCGCGCAAAATACAAGTAATAGCGGCCGTTCGCGCACACTACAAGTCATAGAAGTTCCACGGCGTCAATGTGGCTCCACTTTGGTGGGTCATGGTCGCCGAGGCATGAACCCAGAGTGCTTTGCAATGGGTCGAGGCCTCGGAGGCGCGTGTCCATTGTACTTTACGAGGAACTTCGCCTCGGGAGCGCTAGCGTTGTATGTCTTCTACGAGGGCTCAACAGCAGCTCTCACAGGCAGCTCTCACGGGAACCGCCAGACAACCCCGAAAAGATTCTGAAGAACCCACACAGGCATCCAGAGCACCATTGTGACGCAAACATTTTCGAAGACGCCCCTAAATAGCCGTCGCGTTGTTCGCTCAAGCGTTCCAGTTTCGACGTCCCCATGTGATGCTCCACCTGCAACGCGCGTTCGAACATTCGCTTCTCGTTCTTGTCTGGTCAGGTTTTCCAAGGACCTTGGCCTTGGGAGCGCGGACGCACCGTCAGGTACGAAGGATCGTGACTCGGGGAGCGCGAGCGCAACGTAATTTACAAGGGACCATTGCCCTCTGAGAGCGGACGCAGTGCAAATCACGCGGGGTCTTGACCCTGGGAGCGCGGACGCAGGGTCTTCTGTAAGGGACCGTGGCCTTGGGAGCGCAGACGCACCGTGTACGCGGAGTCAGTGCACACGCTACTGTTCGCGCGCACCCCATTCTCTTGTACTGTATACGCGCGCCCATCTGTCTCGTGCCTCTTACGTGCAACCTTGCATCGTGTACCGTCCACGAGAGCACTGGCAGCTGGAGCGCGAACCCGTTAAGATTCACAAGGGGTCGTGGCCTGTGGAGCGCGGATCCAGCAGAGAACTTGCAGAGTCCCTTGGCACGTTCCGTGGCACGTCCCCTGGCGCGTCCCCTGGCACGTCCCCGGGCTTGCGCGTCCCCTCGAACGTCCCCTAACGCGATTGAGTGCAGCACAGTTCAACTCAACGAAGCAGCCCGCTTCAGCGTGGCACATCATGGCGCAGCGCAGCACGTCACGGCCCCATGCCACGGCATCGTCACCAGGGATACCCTCACCATTGCCGCTGTCCAGAGCCGAAATTAAGGACAGCTTTATATCACTTTCCAGTTTCGCGGGCCAGTCAAGCTTGCCAAAGCAAACAATAGGATCAGACGAACCTATAAACCCAGTGGAGTCCACCGGCGCCTTGCGCAGGCATCGCAGTCGCGTCATTCGCTTCACGTGTGGCGCGAGGCGCCTGTCGAGTTGGTCGGGGGGACGCGATGCGAATGCAGAACGCGTTCTGGCGAACATCTTGCCCCAGCAAACTCTTGCGAACGCGGTCCAGTCTGCCAGCAAGCTTACCGGCGAAGACGGCGCCAGCTCCAGTTTTATGTTCAGAATTGTTTAATTACCCCTCGATTCTCCGCCAAGCGATCCGATCATTGAAGGATTGGCGGACGACCGGCGTTCTAACAGCGATTGTCAATGTCCCGCTCGTGCGGGGTTTTTGCGCGCACCCTGGGCCAGGGATTGGAGGCACTGGTGTGCGCGCTCTCCAGCTCTGCACGTGTGCGCTTCTGCATCTCCTCTTCCCCCCTCTTCCCCCGCCTCCTCCTCCTCCTTGTCCGTTTCATGCCATGCTGGACGTTTACATAAGGCAGTCCAGGCCATCGGGGATATCACACAACGTCGTGAATCACACTCCTGGGATACGGATTCGTGCCTAGGCTTGCCCAGTTGTCGTGTTCGATCTCGTGTATGTTGACAGGACGCATGTCAGACATGAGATGTGGGTGGCAGATGGCTTAGACGACATGGTATACGGGGGCAGCGATGTGCGCACGATCCTGACGAAATAGCGCACACCGTTTAGGATCTAGGTTTCAGGGTCTCCGGTTCAGGCCCTCTTATGGCGATCAGGGCGCGGCCTGGAGGGCGCATTGGGCAGCGCAGGCTGGGGCCAGAATCCTTCCGTAGCAGTGGGGGCATGATCATGCGGTTTGATGGTAGCCTGCCTGCAACCAGTTGGGGCAGCGACATTGCGGGACACGGAGGGATGGCCTTGCGCGTCGGCATGCGATGTGGTGATTTCTTGCGGCGACCAGGGCGCGGCCTAAAGGGCGCGTTGGGCAGCGCAGGCTGGGGCCAGAATCTTTCCGTAGCATGGAGTCTCTCGCCGGAAACGGTTATTCTTAGTCTTGCATAGCGCAACCACGTCGGGCGGCGAAATTGCACGGCGCGGAAGGATTCTGGGAAAGCTGTGGGCTGAGGAATGGATGTTCCAAAGGCCTCGATCGTTGCGTTTGCCGCCGCAGCAGCGTAATACAGTCGAGCATATGATTCAGAAACTTCCCCCCGAAAAGTTGGGCCAGCGTTTCTTAATCGACTTGCTGGAAAGCTAGCCCAGTTTCGCCACTCCAGCGTCAACGGAAGAAGTTGTCCTAGGCGTGCTTGAAGAAATTTGCGGGAAGTTGGCCCAGATGTCTTAAATGATAGTTTGCTTGATCATATGCTCGTCTGTACAAGCGTAACCGCTCGCGCAGCACAAATTTGCAAGAGCTCGGGGTATAAAATGTGTGGTTTTGCATCGGCGTGGACGGATTTGGGAGGTCTGCGCGGTGAAACGTTTGAGCTCATTTTGATGTTGTTGAGTTGGGTGTTTCCCCTGCGAGGGAAATTGCGCCCCATCTGCCCGCCACCGAGGAAACTGCATGGGCCAAGGGCGCCCTCGAGGGCGCGAAGTTATTCGCGCTTCGCGCTTCGCGGTTCGGCTCCGATTCCTCCTCGTCCTCCTCTTCTCCCCTGGGAGGCGATGGGCGGGAAGCTCCAGGGGCCGGCCCTTTGGTTGCCTCCTCTATGCAGGTGTGCACAACACGATATGAATCACCACCCACCAGACCACCCCAACCCAACCCGAGGGCCTCGATTAGCCCTCCATTTCCAGTTGCGGGGGGTCGGGGAACATTGAAAAAAACACATGGAACCCGTACCCCCCCAACCCGAAATTCGGGCCAGATTCGGGTCTGCGGGTTGGGTTGGGGTGGTCTGGTAGGTAGTCAATGAATGATCAGGCTTCCGTTCGATCCGGCCGCCCCTGCTCGCGCGTGCCTCGATCGGGTCGACGTGGCGAGCGGGCGAGAACGCCGCGTGCGTTGGCGGGAAACGCAGGTCAATTTCTGTTGCAGGTTTCCCCTAATTGGCTCTTGCGTGTTGAAGAAGAACTGGTGGGTGCTGGACGCGGTCGGCCTCGGCGTTTCTCAGGGTTTCACAGCTTTGTTGATTTTGCTTCACAGGGGAAATCTTCGGGATGTCTTTGGCTCTGCCTCCTTGCGGGGCTTTGCGCAGGGCTGTTTGGTTTATGTTCAGACAAGGCGTTGCGCAGGGTTGCTTTGTCTCGTCTCCTGACAAGGACGTTCCCTGGGATTGCTCGGCCTTGAAGCTTCTTGTTTCCTGACAAGGCGCTGCTCGGGGTTACATGGTTCCCGCCGCATGTCCTTACAAGGCCCCTCCCTGGTTACATGGGCTGGCTGGGTTGTCCGTTTCCTTGATGTTAGTGGCTCGATTTCCCAATTCTGCGGTTTTTGTTCATTTGGTCTTGGTTCCGCGCTTCCCTTTCACGTTGTTGGCCAGCGCAGACTAGCATGTGATACGGTCGAGCTCGGAATGTTAACAGGTGACACGCTCGGGGCTGATTTCTCTGTACAAACTAACAAGTGGCATGTTGCAGTTTCCATGTTCGTGTAGGCACAAGCTATCGGCGCCCCTTGTGGCACCATGTACGTGTGTTGCGAAAGGTAGGCGGCGATCTTCACGCGGGACGAGTTTCCTTGCCGCGTGCACCCAGCGGGCCGTTGTGCTCGCCGCGCTGCATGTTAAACAAAAGCCAACTGACCGCCATGCGCCTGGAGCGCGGGGTTTGCTGCCGAAGGCAGGTGGCGAAAACGGGGTCCGTCAGGGAATTGCTCAATCATGATGAGCTGGGCGCGTTGCATGCAAAATGGGGTAGCGCTGAAAAACCTGAGCCTACAGTTTCTAGCCCGCTGCAGCCTTGCAAATAATCTCTGCCTACATCCTCAAGCCAGCTTAGTGCGCTGCTGGCGCCTGCTACCCTGCCCGCTTCGCGCAGACTCAGACGGCACAGGGGTCCTCCCGCGCGCAGGGCTTGCAACATGGAACACGCAGTTTCTTCTAGCCCGCTTGGATGCATGGCAGCAGCGTTGCAAACAACCTCTGCCTGCATCCTCAAGCCCGCTTGGAGCTATGCCGGCGCCCGCTGCCCTGCCCGCCTCGCTCGGGCTCAGCCGGCACTGTGGTCCTCCCGCGCGCAGGGCTTGCAAAATGGAGCACGTTGTGCCGCGATTTTGCCGTAGCAGCAGCACACAGGGTTTACCTCCTCCTCCTCTCCTCCTCCTCCTCCTCCTCCTCCTCCTCCTCCTCCTCCTCCTCCTCCTCCTCCTGCTCCTTATGGCAAGCCTCGCACCGATTCTCAACCAGCGTTTCGCCAGAGGGATCTCACCGTGGTCGGGGACCGCGGGAAGAGTCCCGCCGGGGGGGGGGGGGACGGGGAGCCCGAGGACGCCCCGTCCGCAGCCGAGCCGCTCGAGACCTCTTCACGCATTTGCTTTGTTGCTGTCTCAAGGGCTCCCACGAGGGCGCGAAGTTTTTCGCGCTTCGCGGTCCTCGTTCCTTCTCCCCCTCCTCCTCGTCCTCCTCTTCTCCCTTGGGGGGGGCGGCGCGAGAGCGCGAAGCTGTTCGCGCTCCTCGCGGGGGGCGAAGCGCGCAGTTGGGAGCCCTGGCTGCTTTTTGCCTGCCTTCTTCTGTGTTTGCTCCTGTGTCTTGCTGTGCTCTGCAGGAGTCGCGCTCTCTCGCCCTCGAGGCCGCCTGCGTCGGCGGCCTCTGGGCGGCCACGGCCTCGCCGTGAAAAAAAATGCGCTCGGGGTGCACCCGGCCGTGCCCTCGCCCCTGCCCTGGCCGCACCTCTCCTGGACACCTCGGGGGTGGACAGATCTCCAGACATTCGGAGGAGGGGGAGGAGGAGGAGGAGGAGGAGGAGGAGGAGGAGGAGGAGGAGGAGAGCTGGGTGTTGTCCTCGTGGCTCGTGGGGTCCCCGCGGCGCCGGCGAAGGAGCCGACGTCCAGCTGGAGTCGGGCCTGATCCCTTTACAGTCGGGGGTGGACAGGCCTCCTACCCTGACACGTCGATTGAGGAATTGGCCGTTTGCGGTTCGCGAGAGGGCATCACTTTTGCGGGCCCAGGTCCGTCGGCTTCGGTCCCAGGCCGCTTTCACCAAGGGGAGGTTTGCTAAAGGAAGGTTTGTCCCCCGCCGAGACATCCCCAGGAGCAGGGCTGGACCTAAACGGTGCTTTGAGGGATTTCGTGGGTTGGTTTCGCTTCGATCTCGTTCTGCGTCAGAGGCGGACTGAAGACGAAACGAGGGAAAACGAAGGCAGAACGAGAACGAAAAACACCGCTTAGGTTCAGCCCTGCTCAGGAGCCTTCAGGAACGTTTTGGGAATCTTGCAGGCGTGCCCAGGAACGCACGCTTTCACGAGCCGACCTCTGGCTCCTCGACCCGCCTCTTCACCTCTGCTGCTGCTTGGGGTGCTCTGCTGGGGCAATTTTTTTGCTGCGCATTCAGGAGGGAAAGAAACACACAGACACAATTAATCGTCGACTCCCAGGAAAATATGGGAAAACATGACAGAAACCCAGAACATACAGGCAAATATTGGGAATCCTGATATTTGTGTGTATTTTTTGTGTGTCCTGGGGCCCCTTCATCCATGTTCGTGGTGGGCTTGCTTTGGCGTCTGAACTCTGCTTCGATTTCATGGAAAAACTCCAGCACAGGGTGCTCGTAGTTGGCAATTGCCCCTCGATTGAGGTGGGCCGGCTGTTGTTCCGTGATAGGCAACGAGGTCGAGATGGGCCAGCGGGTTCCGCCTGAGGATGTCTCGGGCGAAATGTTGTGTTTCGAAGTTCCGCGAGGTGAATAGCAGGGTGCGGGATTTTTTGGTCGAAGAAGTGCAGCCCGTGCGTGCCCGCACGAGGAAAATTCGCCCAAGGGGATACAAGGGATAACTATCCAACACGAGGTCGTCGTCCGACACTTCGGGTGGCGGAATCGGCGATGCATCCACGACGCATCACCGATACGGCCTGATAGCAGGCCCCATTCGAGTCGTCCCCGTGTGGGTGGCCTCTGGGTGCGGTTGAGGGCGTCTTGGCCAGCAGCCCCAGAGCCCTCGGTCGCGAGCGAGAGGCTCCCTCCTCCTGCTGCGGTGTTCGACCCCTGCCTGGGAGGGGGCCAGGGCTTCCTGACAGAGCGGGCGACTTGCTTTGCGAAATGAACTTCCTTCCGAGAAGGTCGAACGACCGAGCAAATCGAGACGGCCGGAGACCGCTCAAACAAAATCAAACATCGAGTCCGAAATCGGACGGCAGCGGCGGCCGTCTGGCAATCCTGAGGAGGCTCATAGACCGTGGGGAGCAAGAAGCTATGGTGGTCAGCCGTCGCTTAGAGCATGCCGAGGTCGGAGCCGGAGCCGCGTTCCCGCCGCCCCCGGACAAGTCATGCGAGGAGGCCCAAGAGCGCTCGGGAGCGCCCAAGAACTCTGAAGAGCCAGGGCCTGCGGCCTTTGAAGGAAGCCCACTGTAGAAGTCGAAGAGACTTGAGGACGGTCCACTTGGTTCATCGCGGCACGGTGGCGGCTTAGTGCAGCTCCTTGTCGTGATCTTCTTTTCAGATATGTGGCGTTTGTCATCGATGTTCGGGTGTTTGCTGAACAGTCCTGCCCCTGGTCGATCCCTTCCTTTGGCGAGTTTACTCACGAGTTTCGCCTGCAGGGTTCTTCTGCCCTCTGTCCTCTCTTCCCGCCGCTCCTACCTCCGTCCTGTTCTTGCTTCTCCTAGTCCTCCTGCTCCTCCCCTTGCTCCATTATCCTCCTTGTCCTCCTGGCGTTGGCGTAGGGCCCTATCGAGTAGCTCGGTCGCGTCCCAGCGCCAGCAGCGGCTCGAGATCACTGCCCATTCCAGGCTCGGTTTCGCGGAGGTTCCGTCGAGTCTTGCCTCTCCTCCTCTTCCTCCTCCTCCTCCTCCTCCTCCTCCTCCTCCTCCTCCTCCTCCTCTTCTCAAGCAATATCGGCACGAGCGCTTTCATTTTGTCAGCGGAGTCGTTCCGAGGCCTCTCACTTTCACGTAGTGCTTGAGGAACAACAGACGCCCTGCCCGAACCGGTAGGCTTTTCTGTTGACCAGGAGAGGTTCACAGAGCCATGTCGCCTGGACGGCTGTGGAGCACGTGCAAGAAGTGTGGGACACACGAGTGGAATGACGTGCTGCTCAAGGCCGAGACCAAGTGCAGGAAGTGCTCATGCAAAGTACGCCTGCACAAGGGTAAGTCCGACTCGATCAATGGCACCTCCCTCTCCCTCTCGGGGGCTCTCGAGGCGCCGAAGAAGGTCGAGGATCTTTTGGCTCAGGCGATCAAGCTTTCGTCCGACCCCGAGGTGCGCAAGTCACTTCAGGAGCAGGTGCAGAGAGCTGCGGAGACACAGCCCTCAGCTTCAGCGACGACGACATCGCCAGCAGAGGCGGTACGTCGCGCGGAGGGCGCCTGGAAGGACGCGAAGCTCAAATATGATCAAGCGTCCGATCAGTCTCGTCGGTGTCGAGAGAACTTGGAGCGGGCGGTCATCAAGGAACAGGAAGCATTGCGGCAGATGGCTGTCGCGGAGCTGTCCAAGAAGGCTGCGGTCGCAGCCTTGGCCAAGGAGGTGGGCATCACCACACAGCAGAGCGAGTCCGCCGAGGCCAAGCAGGACCCCGCGAAGATAGACCTCACGTGGGACGAAGCATTTTTCCAGTCCCTCGACGAAGTAGAGTGCGAGGAGCACGAGCGCACCGTGCTGAGGCAGTTCGAGCGGGACCTGAAGGCCACGCGGGACACGCTGGCGGCGAAGTCGTCGGACATCGCGCAGTGGAACGCCCGCGTCAGCGAGCTCAAGAAGAAGATCGAGGAGAGGGCAGCCAAGAAGCGCAAGACGGTCACGGTGGTTTCTGAGGACATGGAGGGCGACGGCAAGGAGGCAGCTTCCCCCACAGCTGATGCTCCAACGCAGGCAGCGGGCGCGGCAGGGGCGGAGGCTCAGTCATCGGCCAAGCCGCCCGCCGCGACCGCTGCGGCGTCGCCAGCCACTTCGGACGCCGAGATCGAGAAGGAGATGGAGCGCATCAGGCAGGCCAAGCAGGCGGCGGAGGCGGCTGCCAGCCAGGCCACGCCCACGCTGCAGACGAGTGCCGCGGCGGGCAGCGCCTCCAAGTGAGGCGTGCCCTGCGCTGAGGGTCCACCGACGCCCTCAGCGTGCGCGGGCATCCAGTCGGCGGAGGCGGCGGCGGCGCTGGCGCAGGGCTCTGGCGTTGACGTCGACCTGGAGGAGGGCGACGATGACGAGTGCCGCATGTTCTTCGCGAACATCACGACGCTTGGCAAGTCAGCTTGGAAGTTTCTATCGAGTCAGGAGCACCTTGCTCGGTACCAGTACATGGGGTTGGTCGAGACTCACGTCGTGGCCAAGGGAACCACTCGCGATGAGCGGGCTCGCAAAGCTCAACAGGTACATTGGCGCTTTTTAGACAATGGGGCACTTCCAACAGGCAGAGGAGTCACATCTGCAGGTCAGGCTCGAGCTTGCGAAGGCGGCGGGCTCTTCTTGGCTCGCAACTACCGCCACGTTCATCGGTTTGCAGATAAGCCGCGTGATCTTTCAAGTTTCTGTTTTCCTGGTGGCACGGATTTCGACGGCTTCATGGCGGTCACGGTGCATCAGCAGGGTTTCACTTTCATCCTGATAGTCTATTATGGTCATTGCAGTGTCGGATTTGGGGGCGACAATGTGGGCCGCATGACGAGACTCGGAGCCTTTGTTCGGTGTCTTCAACTTCCATGGTGTATCGCGGGGGACTGGAACATTGACGTTGCGTCAATGGTGGAGTCGAGGTACCTGCAGAAGATAGGAGGACACGTTCTGAAGGCCAGCGTTGCACACACGTGTATTAGTAGCAAAGGTCAGTCGCACATTGATTTTTGTTGTTGTCAGCCCTGCGTGTATACCATACATCCGATCTGTCGAGGCGGTGGAGGCCGTCCCGTGGAAGTCTCACTGTGGGCTTTCGATCGTGTTTCGCCAGTCAGGTTTGCAACTTATGACGCGTTCCCTTTTCATGGTACCCCGTTTGCCCCAGTCTAGCAGGCCTCTCAAGGGCCCCACAGTGGGCTCTAAGTCTAGTCGCGCCAAGCTCGACCTGCGCGTGCGACGAGAGGTGGCCCGAGAGAAGACTAGGGAGGCGCGTGCTGAACTGTTTTCCGATTTCCTTCAAGCCGAATCCACGGGCCAGGTCCCTGATGAGGGGCCCATGTCTGGGGAAGGTTTGGAGATCCAGGGCTCTGATCCGCATCA